CACCAGGCACCAAACGGTGTCGCAAGACTAGCACAAATATGCGCGCAGCGCGCAGCACGCACGCACACAAACCTAGGTGTACTTTGCACATGTTCCTATCTGGTGTTGATCAATTGCTCCGTGCTTTGCCGCTTCAAAAGGTGCACAACTCCAATGGAAGCGCTTGCAAGGGTTGAGCGCTTAGGACCCTGTTCAGCCAGCCGATGGTCTGGCAGCAAACGCTCAGTCAGCATTGCGAACGGGAACTATCAATTTTGTTTGGAGCTGAGTCAAATCCCCAATCAGATTTGCAAATAGATGGACTTAATCACATGAGCATGCCCCAATAACTTCGATAACTTTCGTTCATGTGGTCCCCCGAAGCACACGCTGTTCGCTGAAGGCCTTCCAAAGAGGAGGGGTGCCTTGCACATGTTTAATCCTGCTCGGAGGAGATCTAAAGAGCAAACAACGCAGCAGTGTCTAAGACGTGTTGAAGCTTGGCAAACGGCACTTTGGATTGGTGAGGACCTACTTGCCGGCAAGCCCTTTGTCGAGCAACCGTCCCAAACATAGAAGCCGTCAGCGCAACTCCTGGTCCAGTGCAATGGAAGACAAACAAGTGAGGAATATCTTTACCCCTGATTTTTGAAAGGATCCAATAAAGGCCTGTAGATTCGCCTGCTGCCAGTTTCAGAACTAGGCCTGAACCCGGTGTGTTACTATCATTGTTAATCCCTTCAACGGGAAACAACTCTTGCCAGGTGGCTGCCAGCACCGCCAAATTTGACCCAAAACTGAAACCCGCTCTCAAACATGCGGTAGTCTTCGCGCCAAGCGCTTCAGGCATGCAGCGTTGTGGTTCTCCCGAGGCTATACGGGAATAAGCCAGCTCGGTGAAGAGCAGAATCCAAGGGAGAATTGTTGAAATCTTCCGCTGGGATGCCCAAAGCAAGCCGGGCTGCAATCAAAGTCGCCTAATTTACGCTGCCTTTGCGCACCAATGCGCTCAACAACGCGAACGACAAGGATGAACACGATGAAGCATGAAGACAAAAACAACAACGATGACCACCACCACCACCACCACCACAACCACCACCACCACCACCACCACTCCCTCCCTCCCTCCCTCCCTTCCTCCCTCCCTCCCGCCCTGTCTTTCTCTCTCTCTCTCTCTCGTTCTCTTTCTCTCTCTCTCTCTCTCCCTCTCTCTCTCTCTCTCTCTTTCTCTCTCTCTCTTGTTTTTTTCCTTCTCTCTCTCTCTCTCTCTCTCGCTCTCTCCGCCTCGCATTCTCTCTCTCTCTCTCTCCCTCTCTCCGTCTCTCTCTCTCTCTCTCTCGCTTTCTTTCTCTCTCGCTCTCTCTCTCTCTCTCTCTCTCTCTTTTCTCTATCTCTCTCTCTCTCTCTCTCGCTGCCTCCACCTTGCACACTCTCGCTCTCTCTCTCTATCCCTTTCTCTCTCTCTCTCTGTCTCTGTCTCGCTCTCTCGCTCTCTCTCTCTCTCTGTCTTGCTCGCTCTCCACCGCTCACTCTCTCCTGTCCGCTCTCTTCCTTTCCTCCTTCCTTTCTTTCTTCCTTCCTTCCTTCCTTTCTTTCGTCCGTTCTTTCTTTCTTCCTTTGAAAACTTATGCATTCCTGTCTTATGTTCTTTCTTGCTTTACTAATTTTGTTATGTCTTTATGTCTTTCGTTCTTTCTTCATTTCGTTATGTCTTTCTTTCTTGATGTCTGTCTTTCTTTATTTCGTTCTTTATGTATTTCTTTCTTTCTTTCTTTATTCCTTTCTTTCTTTGTCTCTTTCTTTCTTTGTCTCTTTCTTTCTTTCTTGCTTTATTTCTTTCTTTCTTTATTTCTTTCTTTCTGTCTTTCCTTCTTTATTTCTTTCTTTCTTTCTTTCTGATATTTATTTCTGTTCTTTATCTTCCCGTGTTTGCTTGATTTCCTTCTGCTCTTTATTGTTGTTACTTGTTCTTTGCTTTTATTTATATCTGTGTGTATCATATTTATATTTTTATCTCTTTGTTTATGGGTTATTTATTTCGTGTTGTTTCCTTGTTTTCGTTTGTTTATTGGTCCTCTCTTGTTTGCGTCTTTCGTTGTATTCACTTTTGTTACTTGATTTATTGTCTTTTGTTTCTTTCTTTGTTTCATGTTCCTCCTTCATTTGTTTCTTTTCTTGTCTCTCTTCCGTTCTTTCTTTCCTTCTTTCTTCCTTGCTGCAAGAGCCGGCATTGCACCCGCACCTGCCAGCCCCAGGCCGGCGCCGAGCTCGCACAGCCTATCGCGCCAAAGGTCGCGCCTCTCGTGGCAGTGCTGGTCATGGGCCCCCTGCTTCACAGCAACGAACGCAGGTCCGCGCATGCCAGCGACATCAACCTGCTAACCTAAAGACGACTGAGCCTCATACAACATTGCAACAATGACAAGCCAGCCAAGAGGAAGCTTCAACCTTGTTTCAACTCTTGGAGCCCATGGGATGGAGACTCTTAAAAGAGTGGCCACCCCACGTCCCAAGAACTGCCACCGAGCCTGGCCAGCAGCGTGTCCGCCAGGGCTTGCTCCGCAGGCCTCGGGACTCGGCACCCAACTTCTGATGCAAAGTTCCAACTTCCAAAAGCTCCAGTATAAGTTATATATCTAAATGTACATAAATATAAACAAAAATAGAATTGTGTTTAAATATATAAATATATATATATATATAAATATATAAATATATATATATGTGTGTGTGTGTGTTTATCAGGACTCCAACTCGCCAATCGCCTGACCTGTGAGGAGGTAGGTAGGGCGAGTTGCATTGCCTGCCCGAATTGACAACGCTTGGCATTTCATAGGTTGGAGGTTCTCGATATGCATTTGGTTGGCAGGATGCCTTATGGCGAGTGCGCTTCTGGCCACATGCGTTTTCACCGCATTGTGGAAAGCACGAAAGCCTTTGGTTCCTGGAAAGGCAACTCAGTCTTGAGCCTTCTCAAAGCCTCGGGGTAGCAGCAAGGTCCAAATCGCAAAGTCCTTCATCAAGCAAGAAACCGCCAGGTGCGTACGAGCTGCCACACAATATCAGACACTGTGCCGGCTCCAGCTTCCACCATTCGTTCAAACATTTTGTAATCCAGCACCTTGGCGCGCTTCAATATCTGCGATTGGCGCACACTGCAAGGCATCATTGCCTAAGGGCACGACATATGAAGGCACCGCAAGGGGGATATCAAGATCGCCCACGCGGAACATCTGCTGGGAAGTCTGGCTAAGCAAGAGTTCCCTGTCTTTGTTGACCGAGGGGTCCTGCACAGGTTCAGCCCCATCGCTTCAAGGATGCTGTTGATGGCCTCCCCTGCATCGCTTTGCGATTGGCACTGTTGCCTCATTGAAGTCAACTCCGTAGCATGTCAACGTGTCTTGATGGCGGCTTTTCTTGCCGCCAACAAGCTATATGCCAACAGGCGGCCAACTGCAGTACAAGAAGCATGGGCAAGTGGCGTCCAGCCAATTCAAAATGGTCAGCGCTCCTTGCCCAACCGCTGCTGCCTGCGCTTCTCTTCCTCTTTTCGGTTGACGAGACCTGCCCCAAAGCCTCCTCTCTTCTTCCTGCCAGGGGGGCGGGGAAAGCGGAACAGCTCAAGATGCACGGGGGAATTTCGGCACTGTCTTCTTGCTCGAATTTCAAGCATGCAATGTATCAACTAGAATGCGAGTTCTTCTTCAGCTTCAGAACCGCAACAAGCACCGTTTCAGAACAGGGCTGAAACAACAGAAGCAGCCCAGTATAACTGTATGACAACCAAATTGCGTTCCTTGCTCAAAGAGCAAGCTATCTGTGCTCATGTCCAACAGGAGCCCTGCGAGCCACAATCGAGCGATCGAAAATCGATGAACTATGGCTTTGCCCATCCCTTGAGCTTTGCCATGCCCTGGCCGCTCCACTTTGAAAACTCTTGTATCCTCAAGTATCGCAGCGTGATTCTTAAAAAGGGGACTCCTGAAATGGTGCGCACCATCCAAAAGGTGGACTGCCGTTTTCACGTCAACCAGGAGGCCTCTCAGGCACCGACCTCACCGCCGGCTTGGCAGCTTTTGCAGGGCCAAATCCCGCCGCAGCCAGGGATGACCATGCCGCGGTCGCCACTGCGGCTGCCTCAGAGGCTTCTTTGCTGTAAATCTTTGCCAAAGCTCTCACGTTCAATCACTTTCAAGCTGAGTTTTGTTGGGCCCTCAGCAAGAAGCAGGTTGAAATGTGCGTTTTGTGGGGGCTGACTGACCGGCTTGCCAGGCCCAGTAAGCCTCTCCACATCTGCTTGGAGCCAACACGAGCCTTGATATCCAGAGCTTTGCGTTGCCCTGAGCCCTTCGCCAGCCAAAGAAAGCGTCGGCGAACACGGCATGGCATCCGCATCACAGGAATCGATCTGCCCGCCGGAGTGACTTGGGAGCTAGCGATTGGTTTCACAGAAATGTTGCTGCTCTAGTGCTCTATGGCCCCTCTCAACTGATCAACAGTTCTTGATGGCACCCAACTTGCATGGCAGTCTCGGCCAAATGTGGCTTGAGACACAGAGGCTCATGATGAGAAATATCTTGACAGGGAGCTTTCTAGCCTGATGCACATCGCAGGACTGGCAGCTCAGATTCTTTACCCCATTCTGCGCTGCCCCGGACAGTGGTCCAATGGCCAGCCCACCGATGCCTCTGACTATACACGAGTGAGCGTCACATTGGTCAAACCCGCAGTTGGCTCGATGCCTACGATGCAAAGTCAGACTTGAAAGTCCGCACAGCGCCGGAGGCAGTTGCAACTGCAACCCCTGACCCCTGAATTCTCTAAGCTCCCAACTTGCAGGCAGCAGTGGCCGCTTCTGGATTGCTTGCAAATGCACGCCTTGTACCGCCAGAAGCATGAACCATCTGCAGCGCGTGGGTGGCGCAGCGTACGCGCACACACACACACACAACATGTACGTCTATGCATCCGTGTATATGTATACATTATATATATATATATAAATGTCAGTGTGTATATTCATGGCGCGTACCCCTGCGCTGCACCCCCGCAACGTACGCTTGGAAACCCTTGGACTTGGTTCCCACCTGCGCACATGAACGGACATGGCTTTGGGCCTTACGCCGGCATACGCCGGCTGTGAGCAAGTGGGACCACACTACTGGCTCACTGGACCTTCTGGCGCTTGGGACCATGAGCCTGCCGGCGGCAAGGTTTGCAGAGTATCAGGCCCACTCCCGCCATCAGGAGGTGTCCAATCCTGAAAATGAAACGTGGAAACCTTGAGCAACGATGCTCTGACCCAAACAGGCTACTGGTAGCTTGAAACGCGCTTGTGATCGACGCTCCGTGAAATTGGCAAGCTCCAGCCGCAATATTCTAATCGGGTTCGGGGAATTGGGCCATTCTCTGAAAGAGGGTCCTTGGGAAGAATGGAGAGGGATGGGAAAGACCTAGCATATCAAAATATTGGAACATCCTATACCGTTGAACTTCTTCCAGCAACAAGGACAGCTCTGTTGCGCAGATTGCTCAGGCTCTGCGCTGAGCCTCGTCCAGGACACGCTCCTGCAACCCACAGCTCGTAGCCATCCCAGATGAGATCCCGTCAAGCTTCGCAACTTTTTGCTGCAGCAACTTGGCCATATTCTGTCCTTGGCAGCCAAGTCTCAAAACAGCTGCGGAGAAACTCATGTTTGCGCACATGAGGAGAACCGGACACGATGTTCTAGAATTGTCAGCCGCAACATGGGAAAACACACACAATCACAGAAACACAGAATCACACAGAATCACACAGAATCACACAGAATCACACAGAATCACACAGAATCACACAATCACACACAATCACACACAATCACACACACACAATCACACACAATCACACACACAATCACACACACACAACACACACGCACACACACACGCACACGCACACGCACACGCACACGCACACGCACACGCACACGCACACGCACACACATGCACACCCACACCCACACCCACACCCACACCCACACCCACACCCACACACACACACACACACACTTGATATGAGACGGCGAAACTGACAATGCGCACCCCCATGCAGGCACAGGCTGTTTGAAGGTCTCCGGCAGGGCAATGGAGTTTCGGCACCGAGGAAGTCTAGACATCTTTCGCTAACGCACTCTCCTCTTCCGGACCGCCAGCAGTGCGTTAGTTACTCCATGCTAGATCGTCCAAGGCGGTGGCGGCCGACTCCAAAAATAGACACAACCTCAGAACCCCTTAGGAACAGGGGGGCCACACACACACACCCCCCGCAGGGGGAGAAACAGAAACCGAACCCCCGGAACCCGAAAACCCAGAGAGAATCCAAAGTCCCGAAAGCCGCCTCCATCATGATTCTCGATGGGTGATTTGGTCGCTTTTTTGAACTCCTGCCTGTGCTCGCCTACTTGCGGGCATTTTAACATGTGGCTGCACTGACTAAGTTCAGGTGGCCTTCTGATGCTGTTCCTTCACTTTCCTGAGGCGCTCCAGACTCTTCCAGCGCTGCGTGACATCCGCGATGGACCGGTTGAGCTTCTTGGCCAGCGACTTGTACGAGTACTTGGACCGGCTGTCCCCCTTCAGGCTGCAAAGCTGCTGGTCATTTTCTTCTGTCCAGGCACGAGGTACTTCCGGGGGAGTCCCTGGGTTGCCAGCATCGGAGTGAGCATGAGCAGGAGGTTCAGAAAGGGATTCAGGAGAGGAGAACAGGCCAGCGCAAGGAGATCCCGGAGCCGGGGCTGGAGTGCGAGGTGCTGGATGCGCCGAAGGTTCCGGGGAGTTCGTAGGCTCGGAAGATGTAGCTCGGCATCTCTTCCGCTTAGTTCTGCGTCGATCCGTACCCTTCTTGTCCATGATGGAGCGGGGAATGTTGGCCTTCTTGATGCCCGGCTGACCAACATAATCGTGCACCATGGGACTCTTCGAGCGCGGGTCTATAGAATCGTTGGTGTCCCCCGTGATGATGCCGTAGGACAACGACTTGGGGTTTGCCACCGCGTTGTGCCTGTGGTCTGCGTGTAGCTGGAGTGACTGGAAGCCGACGTGTGGCGGAGGGTCGGTCGGAGTCTCCGAGTTGACCGAGTTCAGCATCACCGGGCCAGGTGGGTTGACCTCATCGACTCCAGCATGGTCAAGTGCTCGTGGTCGCGATGACTCTGCTAGCGACCGGCCTCGGACATATTGTTGCCGCAAGCTACCTTGACCGTCATGGTGCCGGCGGCTGTGTGCCTCGTCAGCTTGATTCAAGGTCTCTTGGATGAGCTGCATCATTTCCGCAGCGTTCTGGGTCATGCGATGATGAAGTGCTATCATGCGGCCGAGCATGGCTCCCGCTCTCCGATGTCGGCGAGAAGGCCAAAACTTTTTGAACCAGTGAATGAGCTCCGAGATCAACACAACAATCAAGGACCAAAAGCCAAAAAGAACCACACCCGAACGCAAAAGCCAAGACGAACCAGAACTGGTCCGGAGAAAAAACCGAAAAGACAAGGGCGAGCCACAATGCCTAACATCAAAAGCGGCGACAGACTGGCACTTAAAGGTTCTTGCTGGTTGGGATCGCCGGAAGATGAAACAGGTGCTGCAGGTCAGCTAACTTGGAGCCGGCGGACAGATAAATACTGCGGAGCTGATCCAGTGCCATCTGTACTGCTCTGGCTGGGTGCGCATACTTGGTGGCGAGGGCTGACCGTGATCTGGCCCCGGAGAGAAGGGTGGAGAGGCTTCCTGCAGTGTGGGGTCCTCTTATCTGCCAGATTTTGCTTGGGGTTTTGTAGTAAATCGCCCGGTCGCCCACATCGATGACGAAGCCGAGGAACTCCGAAGACCCCACCTGTTCCAGCACGATGGGAGCGCCGTAAAAGTCAGCTTGAAGCAGAGCCTCCAATGGAGCTGCCGGGTGACCTGAAGCTGGAGACGGGAAGATGACAAATCTGTTGTCCACATATCGCTCCAAAAAGATGTTGTGACTGGTAAACCATTGTCCGTAGATATGCTGCCAGATAACTTCGTGCCTCGCGACGCATATGTGGCTGAGTACTGGGCTCAGCTGAGACCCAATCGCTGTCCCGTGGACTTGGCGCAGGATGAGAGCCCCAACCTGGACATACATGCATTGGAAGCTGGACTTGACGATGCCCAGGATGTCCTCCATGTAAATAACACGCGTGGTCGGCGTACGTCCGTAGGATTGCTTGCCCGCAGACACCCGATTGTAGTGGACAGCTGCCTGGGTTTCCACTGAATACACGAGACCGGGTTGCCCTCGCTGGTGCTCTGCTAATAACTGCTCGACTGCTGCACACACTTGATCCTGAGGGACACTATTGAAGAAGCCGACCAAATCGTCATTGTGGAAGGCAAGGGTGACTGTATCGTCTGTGTTGTCAAAGTACTGTTTGACGTTCTGCCATATCCTCGGTGTGGGGTGTATCCCCCATGAACATTTCCATGTAACAGCTGCGATCTCGCCGAGAAGGATTGCGACTGCTTTGAAGAGCTGCCGATGTACCACCTTATGGTAGGCTATAATGGTCCGCCCCGATTTCCATTGCTTCTTGCGTTTGAGAAAAACTTTTCAAACCGGGATGGAGGTGGTCTTCTTCCTGTATGCCCATTTGTACCTCTTCTGCAAGTGCCGCGGAATGGCTTCAACAATAAGAGCCCCGGCTTGATCGGGCTTCAATGGAGTAGCTGCAAATGTGCCGGACTGAAGCCAGGTGTTGTGGAGGCCTTTGAAGTAGAGTTGAGGGCAGAAGAACATGAGGTGGTGGTTGTCGTGATCCTCGTTGTGGCATACAAAGTCCTGGCCGAGGTGTCGATGCAGGATGTTGAGCTGGTGCTTGGTAAGGAGCTGATGGGTGGATGCGTGCTGCCGATGTTGCTTAAATTGACTGCGTAGGTGCTCCATGAGGGGTGCGTGGAACTGGTCCAGGGGGAGTCCGTGATGCAAGCACCATTTTCGTAGGCGTTCATGAGCTTGCACTTCGTAGACCGAGAAGTCCACATAATACGACGCCAGCGCTGAGGTGTAGTGAACGTGCTGGGGGGTTCCAGGAAACCGGAACTCATCTAATCCCGCTGCCACATGGCCTTGAACATGAGATAGCCAGGGCTGACGTTTTAACCAGGCTGCGCATTGACACGATGAAGGTTCTGGGGATGTGAAGGAGTAGCAGTCCTGAAACGACGAGAAGTTCCACATGACTGTGTGGACTCGAGGATGAGGAGTCTCTGCCAGCTTCGTACTGGGCAAGTGGAATGGAAGGGCCCAGTTGCGGTGGTCGAGGACGGGACGACGAAGCGCTTCTCTGGTGGACCGTTGATAATGTGGGTGGGACAGCCACGGTAATCGCAGTAACAAATTGATCCTGGGTTGCTGAAGTTGACGGAAATCAAGAACTCGTCGAAGAATGTTACGAACTCGATGCCGATGAGGCTGTTCCACATTACCAGACAGCCTGTATATAGCATAGATGTCCAAGTCCGAATGCCGTCCGCTACGGAGTCGTTTTTCCTCCTCCCAGGATTCCATGTGCTCCGAGGTGAGACGAGCAATGATGGACCAGGCTTGGGTGTGTTTGAGCGCCACTCGATGAAAGTTCCTACCATAGACTGTGCAGCTCCTTCTGCGCAAACGGAGGAAAAGGCGTTTGCCGAACCTGGACCAGGGTTGTTCTGCAAGGAACCTGGTGGCCGTGTAGCCGGTGGAGATGCGCTTGTATCGCCGATAAATATAGGGCCAATTGAGCGACGGCTGATAAATGCTGATCAAGGCATGTTCCTGAGTCCAGGTGACCCTGTGGTCGGGGTCTGTCAGGATGACCCATGTAGCAAACTCGTCATAGTTGTCGAAGTGATGCCACCATCTGAGTGCTGGTTCCGCATTGATGAATTGTCCGTGTTGAATACCCAGTAACTTGGCTCTACGATTGTGTTCTCGACTGGGATAAGTGATGCTGGTGCTTCCAATGTATACGTCAGACTGCGGGTTGACGGAGCGTGGAAGGTCCGGGCGGAGTTCGACTCGCTGCTTCCAGTACACCACATTGGGCTGCGAGAAGTGGGTGAAGGTGTACATGTTCGGGTGGATGCGTAAACGTCGTAGTCGGCGCCTGAGTTCCGTGAGTGCATGCGTGGGACGACCGTAGTGATGAACCATGAGCAGTGTGGACAGGGACTCGGCCCACATAGATAGTTGCTTGTTGACCATCGGCATGTTGAGGATTCTGCGACTTGTGATGATGATCAGATAGAGGACCTGATAATATTGATAGGATGCGTGGACGTCGAGTGAGTCGCCGAGTCTGAGTGCAATAAGCGCCGTGAGGTAGGGAAGGAAATAGTCGGTGCCATGCTGCAGGCTCACTGGCCACGAGGGCTCAGGAATACCATAGTGTCTGGCAGCACCGCATAGTTCTGACCGTTTATACTTGCCGTAGAGCTGCCAAAGAAACACCGTGTCCGGGGATTGAATGACCGGCATGGCTTAGCCATGCATCAGACGCTCGAGCACTGAACTGTTAAGTGGATCAACTTGGAACAACGCCAGCCCGTAACCCCAGGATCCTAAAGGGAAAAAGGAACGGGAAAACGAAAAGGGGAAGAGAAAAGGGTCAGCTGATGGTCTCAGGGCAAGGTTCAAGCGCGCCGAGCAGCAGGGCCTTTTGTGCCAGTCGTTTCACAACGTACTCACGTCCTTCATCGTGAGCGCTACAATCTCGCCTCTCACTTTCCATACATGTACAGAACCGTGATGAACTGCAGGAGTGCTCGCTTCGATCCCTTGCTCACTAAGGAGATGGTGGCGCCCCACTTGACTGCAATGGTTTTCAGCTGCTCCACCGTGTCTGATGCCAACTCCTGCTTGATGAGATCGAGGTAAGTCGCTTGGTTGGACAGCGTGCGTTCGTGCAGCCACGCCTTGAAGACCTTGTCCGTGAGGCTGGTGGGAAGTGGTACCTGTTGACCCTTGGGATTGCCCTGACGTAGAAGTTCTGGATCCAGTGTGATGTCCGGGGCAACCTCCGGGGTCTTGCGCTTTGCCGGCCGTCTTTTGGGGGCTGGATCAGCCTCCGGGGATGGAACTGGTAGGGGAGGTTCCTGGGCATCCGACCTCGCCGCGTTGATGTAGAGGGACTGGTCAGAGCGGCCGGGTGTAGGGGTCCAGGATGCGGTATTGGAAGGAGAAGAGGATGGCTGCTTCTTGTCCGGTGTAAGAGTGATGCCCTTGTTCTTGTAGCGTTCAAGCTGTTGTTCCAATTCGGCAATTTTGTGGCGAGTGAGGTTCTCCTGCTTGGCGGGCTGCAGCGACTCTATGAGATCCACGATGTTGAGCGCAAGTGGCTCCATAAACTGCATAGCCTCGTTGCGCTTGTCCGGCGCATTGTCGGCGTGGAGAGAGCGGGCCGTCCGGTCGATGTCGACCTCCCTGCCTCTCAAGGCTTTGAGAATAGATGTCAATAACACCGCCTCGGCTATTGTCTGAGCCATTACCGGTGTACTGTATCGCCCATTCGACAGCGCTCGGAGTGCGTGATCTTCTGCTCCTCCTCGAAGAAGTCGTGTCAATGGGAGATCTAAGATTGCTGTTCCTGCGAGCCCGACCCTTCTGGACCACTGGGTGGGTTGAATGTGACGGTACAGTTGCAGGCCGCGGACTTCCGTCTTGTCGAGGAAGATGTCATCAGATTGAAAGGTGCTAGGGAGCAGCTGCGAATAACGAGGCTGAGCGTACTGCGTTGCATCGCCTTGGCCTAGAGGTGCACGGGCCTGAAGTTGAACTGGTGGTGCTGGTGGTGGGGGCCGAGGACCTGTCTGCATGTGGGTTGTGCCACCACCATGATAGTTGTAGAACTGACCAGGAGGCTGAGGAGGGAACTGGTGAGCCATATGTGGAGGCCGAGGAGGATTGACTCGGGGTGCTGCTTCCTCTCGAGGTTGGTGCTGCAAGGATTCCGTCCGATTGGAGCTCAAATAGGCTTCCTGCTGGGACTGCGGTACTGACCATGATGGAAGGTACGAAGACCCCGGGTGCGAGGAGGAAGAAGGCGCCGACGTCACCGGCCACGAATAGGTCCACTGAGAAGCCATCACGGGATGGGGGTCCATCTGCGACACTTGCTGATGGATTAAACGCTAGGCGTACGGCACGAATTGTCGAAACGGCAAACGATTTGCAACCAAGCCCAGAGCTTTTAAACGAGAAACAGCGATCGTCACAACGGGTCAGCACATTGCAAATGAAACCGCAAGAAGACCAACAAAATAAAGTCGTGCTTGAGTAAGGCTCTAGCATGCACTTTTTGTCGCAAAATATCGTCGGCGGTCGAAGACGGCAGTGTGGCGAAGGATGCTCTTATTTGCAATGAAACATCATTAATTGTCATCGGGTGCAGCAGCTCTTGGTGCAGGTTCACGAGCGGAGGACACCTGTGGGTGGTTTCGCATCGGTAGGCCATGCGAGTCCAACGATCTGGCTTGCTTCTGGAATCACCATCCAACACTTGCCCGACACATAGTGGATGACGTCAGGACGTTCACTGGAATCCAAGGCCTCAATGCAAGCTTGCTCTCCTCCCGAACGAATCGGCTGACAGGTACCGACAGCGCGCCCAAACAGCAGCAATTGGGCCATGTTGAAAGACATACTCCAGTTCTGGCTCATCGTGCGGGCAATTTCTTCAGCATCATAATCGGCGTGTCCAGTGATCTTCCAACCTTGGGCGTACAAGGCTGGGCACTCCGAGGAGTGCTGCCGGGAAGGATGTATCTGTCGGCTTCGCAGTATGCCTCTGGTGCCGCCGACACTGGAAGCGTGAGTCCAGAGCAGCATGGGCCGCGTCTTCGTTGGTTCTTTGAGCCGAACTGTGGCGCCAAGGTAGGGGATGGTCAGCATGAACCAGTGTGGAGTGATCTTGGAGTAGTGATGTTCCGGGTTGACCTTGCTATAGTTCAGGGTGGAGTGCTGAGACGGTATGCCTGCTGCATTCAGGGTAGCGGCCACATAGTCCATCTGCTCCTGATTGACCGGGATCCCGTCGCGGATGTACGGCGAGGCGAGCACCTGAAGTTCGTTCCTCCACGGGTCGGACTCCGGGTTGGGAAGCAGGATCAGCGGTGGGTGCGCCTGCGGATTGGGGCGCAGCTGCATGCTTCTCGAGGATGACTCCGCAGCTGGATGAGCACCTGTGGCCTTTGAGGCTGGAGCCGATGGGGCACTGCTTCTGCTGCGCGGAAGTCGGGATCGGTTGCTTCTCGGTCGCCGGGATGAAGCTTTAGTTGCCGTAGGCACTCGGGATGAGGATTTAGCTGCTGTAGGCGCCGACGCGGCGAGAGCCGGCGCCGCCGTGGTTGAATTATCCGATTTTGCGCCCCTTCGGGAGATCGGTGGTGGCGTCCTGGAGCGAGCTCGACCTCGACGCTGTGGAGGCACTGACTTGGAGTAGGGGGATGCGTTGTGAGAACGTGACCGTTCTCCCTCCGTTGTGTGGCGTGATCCTGCTGGTGGGTTGGTCGGTGGCAGCATCTGACCTGATGGAGTTGCCGTAGGGGTCGGTGCTATAGGGGTCGGTGCTGTGGTCTGAGATGGGCATGCTGTGGTTGGAGCCGTTGGGGTAGTCGGCGTCATTGGAGTCATTGGAGTCATTGGAGTCATCGGGGTTGCTGGGCGCGCCTTCACCAGGATTTGCGGCAGTGGGCCAGCAACGGATGCAGGCCAGACAGGCAAGGTAGGGGTCGATGCCAAGGCGTCACCGGGAGCAAGCGCTGGAACCGAAGGTTTAGTAGCCCTTGAGGTACTAGACAACGCGCCAGAGATGCTGGAGGTTGGTGTCACAAGCGCAAACCTGCTCGGTGATGCTGTCTGGTTCACCGGCGATCTAGGTGGCGTAGGGCCCGCAGTGTTCCTGGATGCCTTGGTCATGGGGCCTGCTGAGTTCGACATCGGGCCTGCGTTGGGCCGTGGCATCTGTTGCCTGCAATTGCGAGCCAAGAACCAACTGACGGCGTCATGGATTCATGCCTGATATGTCAGGTAGTCTGGCAGTAGGTCAACTGGGGAAGTCAACCATGAAATAATCTGGGGTGCTGAAACGTCCGGGACATGTCCAAGCCTGTGGTGAAGGGTCAACGGGAAGATTCCAGAGTCGCGAGCGACAAGGTCCGGTGGTTGTCTGAAGAAGGTGTCGGTACATGGGTCATAACAGGTGCCCGCAAAGGGGATCAAGACACTGACCGAAGCCCGGACGCAGTGCCTAAACACACTTGATATGAGACGGCGAAACTGACAATGCGCACCCCCATGCAGGCACAGGCTGTTTGAAGGTCTCCGGCAGGGCAATGGAGTTTCGGCACCGAGGAAGTCTAGACATCTTTCGCTAACGCACTCTCCTCTTCCGGACCGCCAGCAGTGCGTTAGTTACTCCATGCTAGATCGTCCAAGGCGGTGGCGGCCGACTCCAAAAATAGACACAACCTCAGAACCCCTTAGGAGCAGGGGGGCCACACACACACACTTTCCACTGCACTCTTGGTTCTTGCGTGCATGATGCCGCCAACATAACAAGAGCACGAATTGCAGCGCGTTCAGCGATGTCGCGTGCATGGTGGCAACACGATAAGAACGTGCAAGTGCATTCATGCTTTTACGGGGTCGATGCTGGAATTGAATATTCCTTCGTTCGTGGTGAATTCGACGCGGGACGCTTATACATGCAACAACTACATTTTGGGTAATCATTGATCATGCTTTGTTAAACATGCTGCAAAAAAGGGGGGCAGTTTCCCCTGGAAAGATGTTTGGCCCACGCATGGTCCAATGGCCAAACAGCGCTCAAGCTCGCAAAAGGGAGAAGCAAGTTCAGAAAATCAGAAGAATCCAAAACTGGAGCAACCAAGTAGCGGGTTCGCTCGGCGTCAGCCACCTCAGGCAAATGAAATGCCAGTGGCAGCGGATCCAATGATGTCTCTCGCCTCTAAGCTCCGTGTGTCCATTTCACATGGGCCGTAAAGCATCTTAAAGCTTCGCCCTGCACGCACGCCCAAGCACAAAGGGGGGCCAACCAGGGGCAACATGAATCACGCCAACCTATTGTGTTGTTTTTCCCCCCTGACCGTTGGCAAACGGGTGCGACGCTTCTCCGGCCTTACGCGCTTCTCCCAGTGTCTTGAAGCGTCTGCCGTGCGGGTCAATGAACTCACGGTGCTCACGCCCATTTCGCCGGAAAGACTCCTGGGCAAGTTCTTGCAAGGGGAAACGGTCATGTTTAATCCTCATATGAGGACCCTTTCTTGGCTGGGTTGGCTCCGACAAAACCTTTTGGAGACGGCAGCCTGAGGCAAGCTTCTGTTTCTTTGGGTGGGGACCGCATTTTGGCAGCTCTCCATTTCGAGTCTCACATCTACAACCCAAGCCGAGAAAGCATCACCTAGTGAGAAAATAGCGAATCACCTTCAGCAAAAGAAAGCGGCAAACCAACTCCGCCCTCCAGTTGACTTGCAGTCATGCGCGACCCGCGCCCGGCGGGCAACCCAAGCCAGGTTGAAAAAAGTTTGCCCCGAGCAGGAAGAAACAAGCCCAAAGAGAAGTTGGAAGCCTTGGAAGCTTTTGGAAGCTTGCCGGCGTTGGCCCCACAAGCCCCACAAGCCAGGGCCGATCTTGGCGCCCGGGTTCCACATGGGGCAAAAATGCAGAAGTAGCTTCTCGGACAGGCATTTGGACTCCATGTTCACTTTCTTCAAATAATCATATCTTACTGACGTCGGCATGCAAAGAGGGGAACCCGGGTGGGTGAAAACCAATGCCTCCCGATTCCGGTAAAACAAAGAACCTCGAGGGATCTCCTTACGAGAACCTTCTTTTTGCTTGTGCGCCTTGTCAAATCGCGACTCCGAATTACACCCAGGGTCTGTTCTCCATCCGGCGGGCAAACAGAAGGCCGGCTCGGCATCGTCTTCGTGGCCGCTGAGGCTGAAGTCCAAGGCGCTACTCCTTACTCGAGAAGTCCCTTTGGCCGGACAAAATGCTCTGAAAATGTCCGCTGAGTTTGCTCGTCCATTTCTCAAACCTATCAATCCTCAGCCCCTACCCGAAAAGTGTTCAGTCGTTGCCCGCATCCTGGCAAAGAATGTCGGATGGGGGCAAAACATGCCGTCGACGGTTTGGACAAAAAAGTGTCTTCCCCTCAGTTGCCTGCGAGAAAGCGTAGGCCAACCATGCACAACATTGGAGGCCTCTCCGTCAAGATCTGTCAAGGCACTCTCCTTCACTCTGCACAGGCTCCTCGGGCTGCGTGGCCTGGCGACAAGCAAGAAACATGGCAGCATGGCAGGTGGCTGCATCATCCTTCACCCCTCCCGCAGGGCGCCCGCTGCAAATCTTCAAGCAGTCATGTCAAGATCAGCATGTCTCACCTGATATTGGTGAATGATCCTTGCGACTAATGCAAACTTGTCACCCACCCAAATCACAACAGCACATATGCCGAACTCAAAAGGTCTTCATATCAGGACCCCTCATAGAGTTCCTGGCGCAACTCCCCCAAGACATCTTCGTCAGTAGCGGGCACCCATCCCTCATCAAGACCCTTTCCAGTGATGCGGTCACATGCCTGTATCTAGGCAACCATGTCCACCGAAAACAACATGAATTTGCAGCAGGTTTCCTTCGGCCATGCGGCGCCGTGCTGCCACTAGAAGCACTGATGGTTTAACATGTTCAACAAAAGGACTTTGCACGCATGGCACGCCGCCCCCCCCAGCGGCGGCAAAACCCGGCCTGTTTTCGCCTCTCTGCTGCCAGCAAGACTTGACGGTCCACCGCTCGCTCGCGCAGCTGGGTGAGGGCCTGGGAGAAAGGAGGACGGCACACCATGAAATTTCAGCTTGCTACCACTCTGAGTGTGAGGTCTGCAGTGCCAAGCCGGAGTGAGCATCAACATCAATGTCACAAAGATGCACGTGGGTGGGCTCTCCGGCTTCTGTTTCAAGGGTGCTTGGCCATCGCAAGGTCCGCAACATGATGCGCGTCGACCATGTTAAATGAAGGATGGCTTAGACAGGCATGAATGACCCCAATGAGAAATGAGACAGGCTACTCAGTGACGACTCGACGCTTGTGCCATCTGGCACCTTGCGCTTAGGCCCAAGCTGGCACGAACTCCCGCGACGCGCAGGCCAGACTCTTGAGGGCCTGCTCGATTGAGAATTGAGCAGCTGGAAGTGCAAAAGAATCAGGGGCAATGAGCCGGCCCCAACTTTTCTCCCAGGAACCCATCAAATTCACAGGAAAGATGGAATAAGTGAGCAGTGATCGACCACGGCTACATCGCAACTTGGAAGTGATTTGTCCGAGACACTGCCACCTGTTCCCCCAACAAGGCAGCATGCCTCATTTGCAAGGTTGTGGCCCACCTCACCTTGCGGAAGTGCCAGAGGTGGTCTTCCCTAAAACGCCCGTTGCGCCGCTGGCAGCTTTGGCGGGGATGCCGTATGTCAAGCGCCTCCTCGTCAGCAGACCAAGGCCTGAGATGCAGCTGCTCCGCCGCGTCCGCGGCGCTCTCAGCGCAGTAGAGGCACTGCATGGCCCTCAAAAGCGGGTCCCTCTCCCAGGCCTCATGTGGCCAGCAACATGCAATGCGGCGTGTTTGGCCAAAAACTGCAAAGGCGGATCAAACAAATCACGGCAAAAGCCGGTAAACGGAAGTTAGGGCCGTAGATTTGTGAATCACTCCTTTTAACACCCGAACTTCCAGCTGCCCGAGGTGCGAAGTTGTCTTGCAATGGTCCTTGGCCGCCGCCCCCGCAACGCAAGGGCTCCAAAGCACATAGTCAAGCCGATCAAACACTACGTGCTAGGCCACTGTACCTTTGTCAATGCCTTGGCATCATTTTGGACGTATAGTTGGGCCACAGTTTCTTTACATTTCTTTGACATTCCTTCTGGCTGGCTTGGCAACAAAGCATCCACAAGACCAGAAGTGCTTCGCGACCGCAAGTTTCGCTGTCAACATGTTCTTGCACAACGTTACAAGGGCCTGAAGGTGTATGCATACCCGTTTCTAGGGTCACCCTTTCCGCTTTACTAGCCAACTGTTGCAAAAGGTTAGCCCTGCCATGGACGGCATTGGCCCCTAGCACGTTCTAAAGCCGAGACTCCCTGAGCCTCGCCAACGGATTTGGGCTGCTTCGTGGCCAGGAGTGCCGCCAAGGGCCGGTCATCTCCACCGCCCTCCTTCAGGGGTTGTTGGGAGTTGTGTGCATGGCCACAGGGCCTGGAGCACCAGCAACATAGTGCGTTGTCGAAGTGAACATGAAGAAAATGAAGAGTTCAAGTTTTGACCCGAACTCGACCCGAACTCCTGAGATGCTTGAGGTGTTGCCACGAGACGCCCAGGGCGAGTCCTTATGGCTGCGGCGGCTGCGGAGTGTCTAGGACCCTAACGCATTTGCATTATGCCCCTTGTTTGGCACATGGCACTATGCCTCATGAAACTGCTCCCATGTGTGCCACCTGTTTTGAAGGCCAGTCGCTCTGGCAGCTCCTTCTTGATCTTAACGTCTTCTGGCTTCACCTCGCAAAGGGGACAAGATGAAAGGCACAAAGTCGGATCCTGGACCCTCAGCTCACACACTTCCTTCTACATGTGTTGCAAGGGGCTTTGCCCCTTTCATGCTTGTCAAGGGATTGCTTCAGAGACCCCAGCTGCAAGTTAATGATTTTATGATATTGGTTGCAACCGCAGCCTTAGCTTCGTTCTTCACCTCTGGCTTGGCCGTACGGGTTCGTGCCTGCAAAGCTGGGCGGCTACACAAGCTTCAAACTGCAGGAGATAGCGCCTTTTTTTCGGCTTCAAACAGTCCAAGATCTCGTGCCCCACGTAAACCGCCGCTGGCAGGAATGAAATCCAACGAGTTCGCCGGCGGCTGTTGTCCACTTCTAGAGTGTGGCTTGGGACGAACATTGGGCACTTCCGTCCTTTTTTCACGGCGTCCGGTGGCCCGGGCCGGCACCAGGCCTTCCGCACAGGCGGGGCCCTTGGCTTGCGGGCCTCCGCGGAAGGCCAGGGATTTGGTCAGTCCTTTTAAAGCTCTTGTGTCCCTATCTCTTGTCTGTCTCTCTCTCTTTCTCTCTGTCAGTGTCGCTCTGTGCCTGTATCTTGCCAGCGCGCTGGCGCACTGCCTTCGCCTCCTCCCACAGCCTGGGTAGCTCAATAATATTTGCGCTGACTCGTGCAATAGTTGCTTTGATGGCGCCGTCCGGCACGGCAGGCCACCCAATGACTCGCGCCATGCGACCGCATTCTTGCTCGTCCACTTGCACCAGGTGCCTCCAAGACGCCCCACCTGCTCCAGGAACGCTGCTGACTTTGCCGGTGTCAGGGGCGCTTTCGTTCCATCAGAGTTCTTCAAGCCTCCGCCGCACGTTTCGATGCCTTAGCTCAGCACGGCCGACTTTAAGGGCTCCAGGTTGCATATTCAAGGCAGAAAGGGCGCAAAACCCGCCTGGGGGAGTGATATGTACATGCAAACCCAAATAAGTGCATACATGCAAACATAAAGAAATTTGTAAAGAAAGAAGCAAGAATAAGCAAGAAAAAACAAACATGCGCAAATGAATGAATGCATGCATGCATGCATGCATGCATGCATGCATGCATGCATGAATGAATGAATGAATGAATGAAATGGAATGGAATGGAATGGAATGGAATGGAATGGAATGGATGAATGAATGAAGGAAAGAAATGAAAGAAATGGAATGGAATGGAATGGAATGGAATGGAATGGAATGGAATGGAAGAGAAGGGAATGGAATGCAATGGAATGGAATGAATTAATGAACTGAAATGAGTTTAAATGAATTGAAATGAATTGAAATGACATGAATTGAATTGAAATGAAATGAACTGAAATGAATGAATGAACTGAAATAAATGAATGAATGAATGAATGAATTGAATTGAATTGAATTGAATTGAATTGAATTGAATTGAGTTGAATTGAAATGAACTGCAGTGAATTGAAATGAATTGAAATGAATTGAAACGAATTGAAATGAATTGAAATGAAATGAATGGATGCATGCATGAAATTGAATGGAATGGAATGGAATGGAAAGGAATGGAATGGAATGGAATGGAATGGAATGGAATGGATGAATCAATGAATTGAAATGACATGAAATGAAATGAATTGAAATTGCGAAAGGGTTTGAAACAGAGTTTCGGGAGAGAATAAACAGGCCCAATCCCACCAACAAGAAGAGATTGTTTAAGTCCTCCAGTCCCAAGGGCAAAGCGGTGCCCCCGGCTGGCACGAACAATGAACCAAAACAGGGTGCCTTTAACCAAGAGATGAATGAACCCAGCAAGGGCAGAGACAACCGAAAGCAAGCACAAAGCAGCAAACCAAGCAGGCAAACAATGCGAAGCGCAGCGAGCAAGCAGAGCAAACCAAAGCGCGACGAGCGAACTGTCAACCCGCCAGCCTGACCCACAACCAGAACAACCAAGACCACTGCCTGCCCAGCCGCGCGCTTTGTGCTCGCGCAGATGGGCAGCGTGTGCCGTCGAGGAAGCGCCGACGTTATGGCGGGCGGGAATTGCCACAGTCAAAAGCTTGAGCCAAACGGCGCATTGGCCGTGGCAGTGAACAATACATGCTGTGATAAAAGTACATGCCCCCAAAAACACCCCCTCGACTGTACAAAGAGATGGGGTGAATTTGGAAAGGCGCGTTGGCCATGTTCAAGTTGAATAGCAACAAACAAGAAACACGGGAGATTAGGCTACCAGGGTTCGCGACCCCATACCCGGGCACGCATGGAGCCCGGATCCCGCCACCACCCCGAATTACGGGTATGGGGCGGATTCACGCCGGTAGCCAAATCAAACAGGAAAGAGCAAAAGAAGAAAGGAGAACAAAGATTCAACTCCAATATGGCAGGCATGAAATAAAATGACATTTGCAATGCAACCACAGTGAAACATGGTGCATCGACCATAATGCCCTGGTCTTGAAAATAGCACCGTCTAGGCGCGCGATCACTCGAGGACCGCCAGCGGGGACACCGCCAGCAGCATTCAGCGGTCCAGGTCCGAGTCACCGGCAGCGGTGCAGCGTATTCGTGATCCCCACCTGCATCTTGATGAGTTCCCACACCAGCTGCATCAGCGGTGCGGAAGGATGCCGGTCGCCAGCGGCCATAGATGCCGGCGAGGATGGCCACCTTACCTGACAAAACGATGTGACTGGCGCGATTAGCGCGAGTCACTCGTGCAGTTGAATTATAAGTCGGTGATTAACCGAAATGGTGGATCGACACTAGGAGCGTTGTCCTGCATGTGCCATCGTGCAGTACTTCAATTTAAAATCACATTAAGCTACAAGCGCGCATTGGCGCAATCGGGCGCGGCACAGCACTTGTGGAACATCATCAGGTATCACTGATTCCGTCCGCCGTCGCGCCGTCCCTTTCCCTTGTTTACATTCCAGTCTCTGGGGGGAGGAGGAGAAGGCTCGGTTTCGGCCAACTCCTCATCTTCACCCCAGTTCGGAGTGTGAGGCGAATTTGGATTCACGTACCCGCCGGGACTCTCCTGCGGATACTGTGACCACCCTTGCGGCATTGCGCCAGGCCACATTTGCGGCATCATGCCAGCCATGGGCTGCGGCATAAAGCCTCCCATCGGGAATGCGGGATACATTCGACTCGGGTACGGAAAAGGGGCGAGCCACGCGCGCCGGGCTGATATCCGCCAGTTGGCGTCCTCGATCGGGCGGTTCCGCCACGACCGTATTGTCCGTGCTGATGGCCGTATTGGCCGCCCTTACCTTTGTGTTGGTCACCTTTGTGACCCTTGTATTGGTCACCCTTGTGACCCTTACTTGCATACGGGTCCCCTTTTGACCCTCGCCTTTGGGCCAGGGGTTCGCAGGGGCATTGCCCTTCCGAGGATCCCCCGTGCCCTTTTGATCCGGTCGCATTGGAGCCGGACGATGATCACCCCTAGGTGTCGCAGCCCGCTTGTGGTGCTTACCAGATGGCGGATCTGCAAAAACGATGACGCTTTGGCCGTCAGCGGGAGCCATGTCGACCTTGTTTTGATCGGTATATATGTATGCCTCAGCATACTCGATTGGGGCCGTGATCGACCCACCACCGGTTCTCAGGGACTCTATGCTCAGCCTGCGAGTCTCGGTGATGTCAAAATCAGGATCTTCGTTATTGAAGTCCGCGAGGCGTCGCTCGGCTTGGACTACTGACATGATCACGTCCTCACGAGAAGCGCTTAGGCCATACGGTGGAACTAGATACCCATCCTCGACTGCGAGGCGGTACGCGTCGTACATATATACAGAAAGGTAAAAAGCAAAGGCTGAATTTAGACTGCCCTTCCTTGTCATGTGGCGGCCCCACTGCGCCGCGTGTTGCGAGTTGTTGATCAAATATGCGAGCACTGTCAAGCCTTCAGGAACTGGGATTCCAGTCTCACTTTCCTCGATGAGCAGTTGCTTTGCTACCCATCGCTCAAGTGCTTCGTCACTCGCTCTCACACACGAGTGAGTGTCCATCGAGGTGACGCTCTCAACCTCTCGAAATGCGACCTGTACAGTATCCGCATTGGGATTGTGTACGAGGTATGGCGCACAGCGCAGACCGGAGATCATGCAGCTGACCACCTCACGGATCGGGTTTACCGATGCCATTAGAGGAGCCCAGACACTCGTCTCCCCATGGTACCAGCTGTTGGGCCTGACTGCTTTGAGTTCGTCCAACCACGTTGGCTGCCCACGCCTTATTTTGGAGCGAGCGGTACCAGGCACCCATTCCCGATAAAATATTGGCAAATGACAACCATTGCATAGAATGGTGCCATACATGTTCGAATGCGCACATCGAGGGCACCAATAGTCGTGCATGGGAGCTTTGTCCCACGCAAATGACTCCCCTCTCAGCGGGCCCGGGACATTCAGGGCCCGGATCGCCAAGGTCGGATGTAGATAACTTCCCCTTCCTGGTGCAAGTAACATGCACGCCAGAAAGGTGCATGAATCTCCTCGCGCACAGCAATGAAACCGCGTCGGGTTTTATAGATGCTTGCAGCACCCTCAATGGCCAACCATTTCAGGTCGATCGCCACGACAACATGCCGCTTGTCCATGTACGCGACGCGTTCGTCAACGTAAAACTCGCCCTCATTGTTAGGGCTCGGCAGCTTCAGGAATGGCACCTTTGCGCCTTCCAAGCCGATTTCAATCTCCCCCCTGCAGACCTTATCAGGTCGCATGGTGAAGACTTTGATGGCGAATTTGCCGGGTCGTCGGATGCACCTCGTCTTGAGGGCGGACCGATACTCAGGCATGGAAAGCAGCACATATCCCGTATAAGGGACCTCTGCCGCGTCCATCGGCCTCAACAATGGCCCGGCGTCCCTCCCGATTAGGGTGGAACGCGCAAAGATCACTTCACTCGTGATCTCTGTCGGATCATCTCCCCTCCAGACTCTCCGTATTAGGAGTTCGACCGGAGGGTAAGCGGGATTCTCCCTCGCAAGGGCACCCGCCCATTTTGCCACGTCGAGGCTTGTACACTTAGCGATCCCGTATAGGGCCTCGAAAAGCATTGGGATCAGAGTCATGGACATCCAACCTCCAAGTACATCAGGAACCGTCCCACACAAACGAAAAGACGGCTCACCATGCTTTACATTTACCAGCTTTGGGTCTGTAGAGCCTGACAAAATTTCCAGAAGCATATGCGCCTCTCTGGAGCTTCGTCCAGTGACCGCTGCGGGGTCAGTGATCTCAGGGAAGTACCCAAAAATATCCTCCCCTGCGGGACAGGCGATTCTGCCATACGTCCTGTTCGAGGCATCCATCAAAACCTCTTCACCCTCATAAGTGAGGTTGTAGGTGCTCGCAATCGGGCAGATGGCGGGTTTTACCATCACTGCATCCTCGAGCGACGCTCCGATCGGGAGAACACCAGATTCATGCGCTTTGGCATCATTCGGGGCATTTCCCTCAGACATGCGCCGATAGTTTTCGGCACGAAAGTAAGGAAACAAGGATTTCATCCTATCTATTTCCTCCTCCGTCGTACGCCAGGCCTTAGCCTCGTAGTACGGCGGCTCCTGCTTTGAGGGAATCAAATCTCTAACTTCCATTGATGAGAACTTGGCAATAAATGGCCCCATCCCATCGTCATCAATGTGACTCTCACAATCTTCGTCCGAGACATATTCCCTGGGCGGTTCGCCCAGATCATCCAGGTCGACCTCTTCCAGGTCCACCAATGCAGGGGAATGCAGGATTCTCTGGATTCCCATGAGCTGCTCAAAACTCCTCGGTGCGGGACTCGGGAAAAATGCACACGTTTGTTGGGGAATACTCGTCATCAGGAATATCCCGATCACGTTCCCGCACTCCA